ACTCGGGCCCATCAGTAAGAAAGATAAGATAAGATAATAAGACTATGATAAAACATCATAATTAAGCATTATCAGCTCATGCATATTTATACATGTGAACTTATAGTTATTTTGCGAGAGATAGTTCCTACTTGCTGAGCGAAAGCTCAATCAGATATGTTCATGCTGTAGGTAAGAAACCTATCAGCAATTCTTGAAGGGCAGTGACGAGCGGTGGGTGAATGGTGGAGATGGGAATGGATACCGCTCACAGTTAAATCTTCCGCAGTAAGTTAAAGTAAAATCATGTATATGTATATATGATTCAAAGGTTTCAAGCACGTATGTTTAAAAAGTATATGTACATATGTATGTTAAGAGAACCGAGGTTGTAGCTAACAACCCTAGTCTTGAGTTTTTAAGTTTTAGAACGTTGCAACAGTGCATGCAACAAATAAATGAACTTTAAATACAACGGTTTAAATGATTGATTTTGAAAGGACTTTAAGAAGTACTTGAATTTAAGATTTCTCACGAAATTCATTTTAAGGTCAAAATTAGATGTTCCGAATGTATTGGCTAGTTTTAGAAAGGCTTTTAAAGAGTATGTGAAACAAGAGTTCAAATGTCACTCAGTTCGAAAGATATTTTTAGAAGGTTTTATCTTAGTTGAAATTAAGAAAAGCTTTAAGAAATTTAGTGAGTCATTCTTTTGAAATTATCGTTACGAATTATGAAATTATTCCTTCTTATATTTAAAAAAAAAAAATGTTCCGTAAATTTTAAGAAATCCCAGTAAGTACAAGTTAAAAAGTAAGCTACGGTGGCGGCCTCATAGGAGGGTCATCACAGATAAAGCCAAAAAAGGACTAAAATTAATAAATAAATCTTGTTTTAGGACAAAAGGAACCAAAATGAAAAATAAAGTTTTAAGAAAAAAAATGTCAAAAAAGAAAGAATTAAAGAAAGAATTAAATTTCAGAGCAAAAGAAACCAAAACTAAAAAAATACTAAGGTTTCGTTCGCTTTGCAGATTTCAGTTTTTAATTCGAGCTGATATATGATATTTTTTAATAGCTTTTAACTGTAGTAAAAAAGTTAGATGTGATATTTTCTGAGAGCTTTTAACTGTAGAAATTTAGAACTGAAAACTTGAATCGGTGAAATAAACGAGGTCTAAAATTTTAAGAAAAAATAAAAAAAAAGAGTTAAAAAAGACAAAATGGAGAAATAAATAAGTTTTAAGGCAAAAGGAGCTAAAACGAGCAAAAATAAAGTTTCAAGTAAAAACAAAAAATAGGTCAAAAGGACTCAAATGAAGAAATAAATAAGTTTTATGGTAAAAGGAACAAAAAAAGGGAAAATTTTCAGGACAAAAAGTAAAAAAATAAAATAAAATAGGACTAAAATGAATAAATAAATAAGTTTTAGGGTAAAGAAAGTTTTAGGACAAGAAACAAAGAAACATTGTCAATAAAAAATAAAAAGGGAAAAATGAATAAATTTTAATGCAAAAGGAACCAAAATGAAAATGGAAAAAAAAAATTAGACAAAAAGAAAAAAATAAAAAGTTAAAAGGACTAAAATAAAAAAAAATGAATAAGTTTTAGGCTAAAAAGTAAAAACAACCTAAAATAAAAGACTAAAAAACAGTTAGAAAGTTGTACACTTTCAACCAAAACTAAGTCGTTTTGGTTAAAAGTGCACTATTCAAAATACACTTTCTCACTTCAATTAACACTAAATGAGTAATAAACAAAAAAGAAGAGGGGTAAAATGGAAAGAAAAATGTAACAAAGCTTCTTCGAGAAATTTTCTAAAGCATTTAGTATATATCACAGAAATGACTAAAAACGCCCAAACAAAAAATAAATGAAGGAATAAGAAGAGAGCAAAACGGTAAAAGTAAAAATAAGGGGACACAGAATTTTTCAAAAGTTAAGGGACAAAAAAAACGAACATTATTTAAGGAACTGTAAAAGGACTACCTCCTATAGTATATAGTATAATTTATAGAAGTGGCATATAAAACTGAGAGAGACAATAATCGAGTATAACGCATCAAGGGAATGGTACTATATAAGATTCTTATTGCAAATTTAAATTGACAAGATTATCACCTTTGTGTGAACTAGATGAGGGAGAAATATAAATATATATATATATATATATATATATATTAAAAATTCTATAATGACTGTGTCAATGTGCAATTTATGCTACTTTGAGGCAAGCATTTTTTAGCTTTTTATGTGCTTGTGATCGTTTATATATCAAACATAATTTGAATTGCCTTCCTTTTACGGCCGGTCTTAATTTACTCCTTAAACTTTGCCTCTTAAAATTTAATTGTCTAATTTCTTTTATTAGAATATTAATTAAAATCAGACAAAAAAAAATAAGAAATTAAATATCGCTACAATCTTTTTTTATTTGTCTTTAACAAAAATTTAGCAAAAGACCACGAAATCGCATTATTTTTTTGTTGTCTATTTTTAACAAAAAATTTAATGAATGGGCTAAATGGAGTTAATTTAAAATTCAGTGAATTTTTGAAGTTGAGGACGAATTTGGAACCCCGAAGGCATTAAAGATTAAAGAGATTAACCCAATTTACTTTTATAGAACGTGATGAAGTTAATAAAGCCTTACTCATTTCACGACTTAAGTCACAACTCAAATCTTATTGCTCTAGTGTTTTCTCTCAAAAAATTCAAATTCAACGTTTTTACTATAATGTTTTTTTCTCACATACACAACTTAAGTTTTTAACTTAAGTTATGAAACAAACAGCCCTCCCTAAATTATTTTTAACGGGACGTGATAAAGTTGTGAACTTGTGATGATTCCCGAGACTATTCAAATTGCAATTTATTTGTCCCTTTGGAATTGCATAATACTATGATTTCAAATGATTCTGGAAATGTAGCATTAAAAAGAGTTATCATGAACATGCCCTCCCTAATATAAAGGGAGCCACCCACACCATTATCAAAATTGCAAACAAAATTCTTAAAGAGAGTTGTAAGTTCTACAAAAGTGCTTAAATCAAAGAAAAAAAAGAAATCTGTAAAAATGAATTACAACAAGAAATGCTTAGGAGCTAAACTATTCTTTTCGCGCCCGCTTCAGGGTAATCATCTCTGTCATCTAAGCAGCAGCAGTCGTTAGTTCTTTCTCCGGAGTTGCGCGCACAATCTTCTGGGGCTGCGCTCACACAATTCAGTTGGACAAATGATTAGTTGTGTTACTAAAATTGTCACGTAGCAGTGTAAGACCGAGTAATGACTTTAGTCATACAATCATTTAAATTCCCACGCGAGTGATGACCATGAACAGTCCTACTCTTATTCGAAGTCCAACAAGACATTTAGATAGTTAAGATATAGAGAAAGAGAGGGAAAACAAGAGAACAAAAAAGAATAAAGAAATATATAAGCTTCTCACTAACCTCAGCCAATTCATGCTCATGCTTAGGAATAAATGCAGTATCAACGTTGCCGTTTCTAAAATCCTGTGTAAAATGGAAAACATGGCATTAGAGATAAAAGGGTAGAAAAGGCAAAGCTTTCTTTGAAGAAAAGAGACACATTTCACCAATTGATCAGTGCTTTTTTCCCTACCTCGATATCGAGTATGAGCTTGTGATATTCTATGGTTGTAGGAACTCCTGTCAAATTCAAATCCGATTTAAAAAAAAAAATCACTTTTGGAATTTGAACTCCAATCCTACCAAGAAAAGTAAATGAAAATTGTTGACCAACGTGAGGGGAAAGCAAACACATTTACCTGTAATGACGGTGTCATCAAGAGCCCTCTTCATGCGTTCAATAGCCTTTTCCCTTGTTGGTGCCCATACAATAAGCTAAACAAAGTGATCAGCAGATCCAGGAATCAATATAAATGCTTATATGCCTCTTTACAGCTAATAATTTGAGCAATCTTTCACAGAGAAACACAAACAACAAGAAGGGAAAGTTTGACAGACCTTTCCGAGGAGAGAATCATAGCTAGGAGGAACGACATAATCGGGATAAACATGGCTATCCATTCTTACAAATGGACCTCCAGATGGCAAGTATGCTGTTATTCTACCTGAAAAACGAAAATTCCTTGTAAGAAATGATTGAAAGCATCCGTACACCATGTAATCTTGCTACTTGTGGCACTGGTGCAGGACAAACTGGTAAATTTCATCAGTTAAAGGCCATAGGCACAGCATTAAAATCTCAAAACACACCTGGGCCAGGTCGGAATCCTTTGAAAGCGTCTTCTGCATTGATACGGCATTCGATTGAATGCCCTCTGAGCACAATATCTTCCTGTAGAAAATCCATAACTAGTCACAAAATTGAAACCTTTTTTTTTTTTTAATGCTTAGCCCATCAAAAACTTAACTTCAATAACCTGTTTGTATCGAAGTTTTTCACCCATAGCTACACGAATTTGTTCCTCGATCAAGTCAGTCGAGGAGATCATTTCGGTCACAGGGTGCTCAACCTATATAATAAAACCATCAATCCAAAAACAAACAAACAAATAATTTTTCTGGACTTCCTAACTTATCCCACAGATTGAAACCCAAATCCTTGAAAAAAGCTTCTTAACCTGAATCCGAGTGTTCATTTCCATGAAGTAGAAGGAGCCTCTTTCATCCAAAAGAAACTCAATCGTTCCGACACCGATATAACCTATAGAGGCTGCAGCAGCAACCGCTGCATCGCCCATGGCTTTCCGCAACTCGGGGGTCAATGCGGGAGAAGGAGCTTCTTCCAGCAGCTTTTGATTCCTTCTCTGAAAACAAGCACATTGAACATAACTTGTTACTTCAAGAAGCTAGGTGCTAGGATAGAATTACCATAATTCCGTGAAGAAAGAAATATAGTACCAAGAAGTCTAGTTACTATTCTCTCCAACTGGAAAAATGATAAATTGGAAATTCAAAGCACTATAGGTAACTTATCGAAGTCGATAAATTTAATACTTCTTCTTTCTCTCTTTTTCCCTCCTGAGTTAGAAATTTTAAGTATGAGCTTCTAGATCTTTTTTTTTAAATTAAAAACCAGAAAATTAAGCATATCTTGATGACTAAATCTAAGACCTTCCCGGAGATTACTTCAGGTTATGTCATTGGTGGGAAGTAAAACTGAGATATGAGACTATACCTGGATGCTGCAATCACGTTCTCCAAAGTGAACCACATTACCATACTTGTCTGCCAGAACCTGGAAAACCATCAACAAACCATGGATGAAATAACCATTTTTTGAAAGTAAGCAACAAATAATATGGAAAATTTAGGAACGGGCATTATTTAACTGTAAAACATGTAATAGCATTCATAATACATCACCAACATTTAAACATTAAAGTAACAACGTTTAAACACTAAACACACTACTATTTTAGGACTCTTCCCCGGCACCTTGGGAATAATCTCATAAGTAATGCTGCAATAAAAACTCTATAATAGACCCTAAGATCATCTAGTCTACGAGACAAAGAGTTAAGCCATCTTAGATATATGATGCTGTGTTGTTTCAGGAATTTAAGCAAAATTCTTCAAAAACTGTCTAAAAACTAAGCTCACGCTCAGGAAGTGTTGAGAATTTTTCACCAGCTACAATTAACGATGAAGCATAACGTGTTTTCTTTTTTTCTCTTACAAGCTTCAGGAATGGTCTTTTAAGCAATCCACTTCTTTAAGCAATCCACTTCTCAAAAAGAAGCTAATCTGATAAGTTTCAGACTAGGCAGATTTCGATATATCATAGGTGTATTTCTTGTATATTCATGTTTTTATATCAATCACTGACTAGGATTTTATTGATGAATGTTACCTGGAATTCAATGTGCCTTGGATTTTGGATGTACTTTTCCAAATAAACTCCATCGTTTCCAAAAGCAGCCGCAGCCTCACTCTTCGCTTGCTGAAAACAATTTAAAACCAAACTCGGGTAAGGGTATGCTTGAACATGACACAATTTTTTGTTGCATTTACGTCTCTACATATACAAAGATAGCTAGGTAACAGCATATTTTTACAGAAGCTCAGGTCTACATGAATCCCTTGATGGTCAAAAATGCACATAGTAACTACTGGGGATATTTACAACATTGGCAGTTGAAGTCCCTCGCACCAAATACGCACATGATAATTACTAGGCAAATCTACAAAATTGCCCTTCAGCTTAAGCAAGTTAAGTTTCCTTGTGCTGATAAAGCCCATAAAATTGAACAGTTCACTTCCAATTCTCTTATGTCCAGTCATTATCCCCAAAAAGTACACACTAGTGAAGTGTTCCATTTTTCAATTCAAGTCACACATAGGGGAAAAAAATTAGTACAGCCTACAGTGGTATCATACTAAAGCACAAAAGATAATTGTTGAAACTAGCGCGTATGTCAAACAGGTAAAGAAAAATGCACTTTAGCAATTTATCGTGGCCAAAGACACTTTAGATGTAATACCTGTAACAACTTAACAAACTCATCAGGTTCTTTAGCAAGACGCATGCCCCGGCCTCCACCGCCAGCTGTTGCCTAGAAAACATGAAAATATTCGTCAGCTCACATGGGATTCTAAGGCAGATTACTTACAGATAAAATTGCACTTTAATTCTCCGGGGTGTTGGAAGACTCTCCCTTCAAGATTAAGATCAAACGGCACAGGACTCTTGTGTTCTTGTTAAGAAAATTTACCTTGATCATCACGGGAAAGCCAATCTCATTGGCAAGTTTGACCGCTTCCTCCGTGCTCTGTGATAGCAGTATAAACACAATTTAGCCAAATGAAATAACTAACCTCGTAATGGATCATAACATAATAGGGGTTTCAAGATTATAGAACCTAGGGTAGGTCAATGAAGATACCTGAAGCAATCCTTCACTTCCTGGTACAGTTGGAACGCCTGCTTTCTTCATTGTGTTTCTTGCAGTTGCTTTGTCACCCATAACGCGGATGCTGTCAGGCTGCAAAATATAACCAATTTTACATGATTTCCCCAATTATGGGATATGCAATACAAACAAATAATGACAAACCTAATCATTACTCAAGAGAACGATATACATTTTCTCTGTAATTGATATCTTATTAATTGTATCCAGGAGAACGTTATCTCAAAGTTTGAATGAACTGAAGTGTAAATGTGCCATCTTTTCATTGTATATGGCTTGACAAGTCTCATCATTGTTTCAATTTTCATGACTAAACCAAATAGGGTCCAATTTCACATGCTTCAAAATTGATTCAACGTACTCACATTAGGCCCAATGAAGTTGATTCCGTGTTCTCTGCACATTTCAACGAACACCGCATTCTCGGCAAGGAAACCATATCCAGGATGCAACATTGTACATTTACAACTGACAGCGGCAGAAAGAACATTTGGGATGACTAAATACCTGGACATATAAAAGCAGAAAGTTAATAGTCAACATTGAAAACAATAAATAGAAGAGTTGTAATAGATCAGAAAAAGAAAAAAAAAATCACTTACGACTGGTTGCTAGGTGCTTCACCGATGCAAACAGATTCATCGGCCAATTTCACGTGAAGGGCATCCTTGTCTATTGTTGAGTAAACAGCCACACAAGGTATCCCCAGTTCATGAGCGGTTCTAATGACACGAACAGCTATTTCTCCTCTATTTGCTACAAGAATTTTCTCTTGGCGGCATGTAGCACCCAGAGTTCCCCCTGTCTTCTTAGACTTAACACTGACTCTGACGCCCTGAGCTCTTTGCCTAGGAAAGTTAACCTTATTTCCCGCCATGAAACTACATTGAGAACTCCTTAATCCTCCAGTTCTCCACACAAGTAAACCCTTTTAATGGGAAAAAAATGAAAAGAAAAAAGCACAACAGACTTAGGCCAATTCGCAGGAAAGGTAAAAGTAATCACAGCCTAAGCCCTTCATATTACAAATGACAATGCATATATTTGTCCGCTATCATTGTAAATTTAGGATCTCGATACGAATAACAAGGATAAAGACATTTTCATCCCTGAACAGAAGTATATACGAAACAGCATTAGTATTGTAAGTTATTATCTATCATAACGCCAACAAAAGATCAAATTCTTATCTGTATTTTGCTTGCATTATACTCAATTTGATTTCCATGTAATTCTTGCAATGGCTTATAACCTTTTCTGCAGAGATTCGGATATTATATATGGCGCGAGGTGTTTGAAAAACTATTTCTTTAAAATTTCAAGAATGAAAATGAAAATGAAATTCATCCTAAGAAGATTTTGATACTGACCCATCTCAATTCAAAGGTATCTGAAAAAAACCCAGATCGCCAAAACCAAAATTGAAACGGAAAAATACATTCTTTATTATTCAAGAAAAATAAAATAAAACATGGGTAGTAAGGAAGAGACTTACAGGAGGTGGCGAAGCAACGGATTTGCAGATGGGCATTGTGGCGTCCATGGCGTGAACAACAAAGGAGCCTAAAACGACAGCGTTTTGCTTTGTAGAATCAGACCAAAGAGAAGTGTCAGCATCAAAATATGGATACAAGAAATAGATCTAGAGAGTGATGGAGTGTGTGAAAATTTTACCTTTATTTACGGAAAGCGAAGAAGGATGAGAGAGAGAAAGACACAGAGCTAGAGAGAGAAACGGAAAGAGTAGTGAGAAAATGAAGGGGAAATGAAATGGAGAATAAGAAGGATATGAATGAGAAGAGAAGAAAGATGTCGATGAAAACGAGGGAAGTTGAGTGATTGCAAACTCCGCCTACAATTTTTTTTTTTTTTTTTTTTTTGGCTGGTTAAACTCCTCCTACAAATTAATCGGGTTTCCTTTCATTGCTTGCTCTTATTCGTTTCTTTTTGCATTTTTTTTTCGGTCCTCTGCGGTTTACTCTGCCTACAGTTCGTTAAGTTTTCTTTTCCTTTTCTTCTCTTTTTTTGTTTTGGCACTTTTATACCATTTAAAACTCGTTTTAAAATTATTTTATTATTTATACGAAGATGAAAATAAAAACGTTTTTAATTTCATATATAAATTATTTTTAAAAATATGTTTAATAGTTTTATTAAGAGATTATTTTCAGTATAAAAAAATTATTAATCTCTCTCTCTCTTTGCTCGAGAGAGGAGAAAACGAAAATAAAAAATAAAAAATGACTAAAAGTCATTTTTCATTTCTCTCTCATTTTAAACTAAACTAAAAAATCGTTTTCATTTCTTTTTTTGTCTTTATTGTGCCAAACGCCGTTTTGGAAACATTTTCATTTTTTCTTTCTTGAAAACATGAAAAATAAAAACAAGATCATTTCTAAACACGGCCTTTACATCTTAATTTTTTTTTGCTAATTTGGTCATTGTGCTTATAAGAATAATTGATTTATTTAAGTTTATAGTTATATTTATCTTGTAATTATTTAATTCAATTTTTCTTTAAAAATCACATTAGTAATTATTTTTAAATTTAAAATTGAATTTTTTTTGAGGAAAAATTATTCTTAATTATTAATTATTACGAAATAAGTTTTTCCTTAAAAAAAAGAGTATTCAGTTTAAGTGTGTGTTTTATTGGTGGATTCGTGCCATAATTCGTAGTTCGTTACAGTATTTTCTCTCACAAAAAATACACGTAAATCGAGAATGATTTTGAATCCATGAACCAAACATCCACTAAATTATTTAGTTATTAAATTTGTATTGTATTCAAATTCAAATGGTGGTAAGTCTATATATGTTTAATTATCATTATGGAAAAATTTGTAACATTATTTTTTTAAAGTCTAAGGGTGTGTTCATTTCACAACTCAAGTCATAACTTGAGTTATGACTTGAGTTATGTATATGAGAAAAAAAATACTGTAACAAAAAAGTTAAATTTAAATTTTTATAAAAGAAAATATTGTAGCAATAAAACTTGAGTTGTGAAATAAATGAGGCCTAAATCTATTATGAACACCTCGTCATCAACTTTAAAGTTCAAGCATAGGCACAAAATTTAAATAGTGGTTCTCTATACACACCCCTTATTACTCTTCACACCCTCTCAAGGTTTGGTAGATGGATTCAGAATCATGATTCTTGATCCTGGTTCAGAATCAGTGTTTGTTTACAGTGATTTTGAATCATGATTCAGAATTAGTGTTTAGTTTGGTTATTCTGAATCATGATTCAGAATCTGATGTGATGTTTTAGGCCTCGTTTAGTTCGTTGATTTGAGTTTTTAATACGAGTTGAGATGTGACTTTATGTGAGAGCTTTTTACTGTAGCAAAAAAATTAGATATAACTGTTTCTGAGAGCTTTTTACTGTAGCAAAACTCGAATTCTAAACTCAAATCAGTGAAATGAACGAGATTTTAAACTATCTCAAATCATGATTCTAAAACCATCCCCCCTCTTGATTCAAGGTGATTCAAACCCCTAATTTTAAATCATGGTTTCAGAATCATGATTTAAACCCAAAATCATAAATCATGATTCTAGTTCCAGAATCATGATTAGAATCACAATGATTTAAATTCTCGTACCAAACGAACCCTAAAATTTTATCATTATAAAAAAACCTTAATTAAAATGATAAAAAATAGACTTAATTATATAATTAAATTTTATTAAAAAAACTAATAGAAAGTCTTTTCTCTCTATACACCTCACATATCATATTCCAATTTTATTACAAAAAATGATTAGTCTGCCTCTTCTTGTTCTAGTCCACAAGTCTTTTTAGGTGGGGTTGCTGCAGCTTGACTATCTTAGGGAAAAAGAAAGGAAAAAAAATACTTTTAAAAAAATAGTACCAATAAATAAAAGGAAAAATGTAGTCAATAGCATTATACAAACATGCTTTTAAAACAAATAACATATTTTTTAAAGCATGGTAAATTTTAGCATATCTTCAATCTCCATTTTAAAATAAATTGTTATTTTCCAAATTTATCATTTTCTTTAGGGTACGTTTGGTTGCAGTGACGGAATGGGTAATAAAATGTAATTGAAATGTGCTGGAATCATAAACTGATTCTTTAATTTGGTTGGAGTTATGGAATCAATACATGAATGAGGATTATATTGTTTAGTTGACAACGAAATGGAATGAAAGTAAACTGTATTTTGACAAAAATACCTTTGATTAATAATCTTAAATAATTAAATATTTAATCAATTAAAATAGTAAAAATAAATTAATTAATTATTGAAAAAAAACTTTTTATTTGAAGGATAAAATTTAAAAACTATATTTCAATAGTAAAAAAATAATATTTGATTTTTTTATGTAATAATAAATTATCACATGCTTAAATATGATCACTTTTAGCATCTACCATAATATGTATCGAGTAAAATGATCACTTTGGCCCCTGTCAATAATAAAAATGACACAATTTATCATTCAACTATATATATAATCCCAAAATATAGTCATACACCAAAATTAGTAGATTCACCTATATATAACATCTATCATTTGTCAAATCAAGTAAGTTCCTAGTTAATATAATTTAACAAAGTGAAGTATAATCCTAATTAATTACAATATCAAAAGAGAAATGCGTAGCACATACATTACAATATCAAAAGATAATCCGGCTATGTTTTTCTACTGAAACTAAACAAACACTCTTAAATATCACTAGCAACAAACACTCCAACTTGGCATGCATCTTTTGAAGTCTCATTGCCAAGGCTTTCTCCACAGCAATAGAAATTTCCCTTTCATTTTCTTCTTTGACATCTTCCAGTAAAGATTCAAAATACTGCAATCAAAACAGAGGTCATCGTTCCACCTCTATGTTTTTTGGGTTAAAAAAAGATATCATTATATTGGCAGCTTACAAAATGCACTCAATGAATCAACAAAAATTGAACTTCATGTCTATGATCTATCAACTAATCACCATCGACAAGAGAAGTCTAATACCATGTGATGGTGAAATAAGGTCAAGTGACTTCAGACAGAAAATTAAAATTTCTCAATAAAAATTGAAGAAATAACTAAGGCCCCGTTCACTTCATCAATTCGAGTTTTGTTATAGTAAAAAGCTCTCAGAAACAGTCAAATCTAACTTTTTTACTACAGTAAAAAGTTCTCACATAAAGTCACATCTCAACTCGAATCAGCGAACTAAACGTTTAATAAGTTTTGGTTCTCAAGTTGGGTAGTAAGCAGTTCATTGTACTCGTTAACAATCTGCAGACAGAACTTAAATTATAGGTATGGGCGTAATACCCAAAAAAATAAAAATGAATATAACAAAAAAGAAAGTCATGACTTAAAGTGAGAAAAGACAAAACAAAACAAGTCATTACAGCTTCGACTTTACTGTTCAAAAGAGCGTCACAATTCAGAATCACAGTTTCCACATCCATCATTAGCATGGTGACAATGAGAATTCAGCGCAACCAACTTTCCATCAGTTTTAGATTGTATTAGACGGTGAACATAATTGCCTCCTGCATAATCCCACACACGTCGTGTATCCAATTCAAGAGAATAGCAGTATTGTGTTTCTTTCCAATGTCTTATGGCGTGTCCTTCTGTGTACCCACGACACAACTTTTCAAATGAGCAATTGTCTTTTCTAAACCAAAAATGAGCAATAAGAAAAACATAAAATTTAACATATGTACACATGTAATTAGATGTTCGGGAGGCTTATATGTTCACCACATTTTATGGATATATCAGCTCTAGACAAAAATAGCACTTGATACACTCCTACCACGTTACTAAAAAAAAAATTCCGGAATTCTAAACCAAAAATGGAAAACATACCAAGACAAACTGGACAAGTGGGCTGCTCCGCAGAGCTTGCAGGGGATGCCTGTGTGTGTTCAATTGAACGAGTGTATTGCACATCTACCGTGAAAAACACACAACACACTTCCGCCTATATTCACATACATGACAGCCAAAACAGATGATAAGTAAGCTGTTCCGGGTTGAGTAACTTGCGCACAGAACTACAAACATGCTAGTGTGCAAAAATGAGCATAATGAAACTGCGGAATACCTCTAGAGATGAGAACCGAGTTCCATTAAAGTGCTTGTAAAAATGATCGGTAGAGTCTTGACTATCAAACCTAATCAAAATGCTATAACGATCTTCCATTCTGTCATTTCTAATCAATACTAAAAACCAAGACATGATCCAAAATTCAACCTGGTAATCCGCATCTCCAAAATGTGCTGAATAAATGAACCGCAAAACTGGCAGAAATCTGCAGACGTCATGTGATTTGGAACTCCAAGAACACAGATGAGAGGCTTTCTTTCAACCTAAGTAAAATGGAAATATACTTTAAAGTTGAAACTCGAATTCACAAAAGCATCACGTAATATTTAGGGGAAAAAACAAAAATTAAATAATGTGATTTTCTGAAGAACAAAGGAGCCGATACGAGCTCGAATGCAATTGAAGATCAAAAACGAAAGATGGCTAAACTTACGGGGAGAACGGAGGGGGAGGCGGAAACGACGTCGTCGCGGTAGAGAAGCATGACGCCTCTGGTCACTTCGATTGCGAAAACAGTAATCAACAATTCAAGAAGAAAAAAAGAAAGAACAAAATCGGAGGGAAAAATAAAAGGAAAAAAACTCACCAATCGAACGCCTGCGACCGGTGAAGCTAGATCCAATACCAGCAATCGAAAATCCAAATCAGAGGAGGAGAGAAAGTGTTAGAATCAAGATCCTAGCTAATTATTCCTTAATTTCCTCTTGATTTTCTGTATTTGATTTCCTGTATTTATTTAATTTATTGTCTAGATCAATTTCCCTAAATCAGGGTATTTGTTAAGAAAGTTGCTATTATTTAGGCATAGAATTATTCTCTCCTGCTTGTATAAAAATACTCATTGTACATCATTTTTAATATACAGAAATATACACAATTCTTCTTCAATTCTCTTTTTCTTCTTTACGTTTTCCTTTTTACATTTCCTACCATAGGAAATTTACATGGTATCAAAGCCTTAAAAATCTCCACAGCCCACCCAACTCTACGCCTCCATTATTTTCAGCTTCCATGGCAAATATTTGATAAAACTACAGAGGCAACTAAGCCCTCTACCAATGTATGATGATCCAAGTAATCCCTTCTATCTCCACTATTCTGATCAACCAGGTTTGGTTCTTGTGACTCAACAATTGACACAAGACAATTATCCTCTTTGGAGCCATGCCATGCTCACGGCTCTCATCACCAAGAACAAAGATGGCTTTGTGGACGGATCCATCACGAAACCACCAGAAACATCCACCAAGGAACACAAACAATGGACTCGCAGCAATCTCCTTGTCAAGGGTTGGATCCTCAACACTATGTCACCAAACACTCAAAGTGTGATGTACAATGACAGTGACTTCAAAGATCTGGCGGGAATTGAAAGAACGTTTCTCTCATACGAATAGTGTGCATCTTTTTCATGTTGAACAAGAGATTTATGAGTGCGTTCAAGGAGACATGAGCATTGGTGACTACTACACCAAATTAAAAGGCTTGTGGGATGCACGTGATGCTCTAAGTCCCCTTCCACCTTGTGATGGCGACATGGCAAAGAAATTGCAGGAATACTAACAAACACAACGTACTATTCGATTCCTCATGAGACTCAACCCCGTTTATGTCGGAGCTCGAGGGCAGATCTTACTCATGGATCCCTTGCCGCCTGTGAACAAGGTATTTTCTCTCATTATTCAAGATGAAAAACAACGAAACATCTCTTCACAGGTGACTGGGAAGACACCGGATGCGGCTGCCTTTGCTGTCAAAGATGGACCACCAAATTCCAACAGGAATTACTCACCAAGAAACCCACATCTCAAATGTGATCGTTGCAACCTTGTTGGACATACCACTGAAAACTGCCACCAACATCTTCAGTGTGATCATTGTGCTACAAGGGTCATACCATCGACATTTGTCGCAAACTCAAGCGGGCAAATGCTCAAGGGGATAAGAGAGGCCCCTCAAACTCTTACGTCAGAGCACATCATGCGGATTCTACATCCAACAAAGCTGAAATGACTCCTTCCTCCTATAGTCTCACTGTTGATCAATATCGTGATCTCCTTAAACTCATTGATCGAACAAAATCGGTTAGTGTTGCCAATCAAGTGTCAATAGTGAACAATCTTTCAGGTATTCCTCCTAGCTCTTCCATATATGGTAAAGGTATTCGATTGATCTTTGACACAGGAGCCACTGATCACATGGTTTGCTCACCTCAATCTTTCACCACTCACATACCTGTCACCAATCGTTATGTCCATTTACCAAACCATGATCTTGCTCAAGTAACACATATAGGGACCATCCATTTCTCTAGTAAACTGGTTCTTTATAATGTACTTTGTGTTCCTTCCTTTAAACTCAATTTGACATCTGTAGCCAAATTGACTCAAACCTGTTCATGTTATGCAACCTTTACCAATAACCTTTGTTTTGTGCAAGACCAACATTCGGGGAAGACGATTGGGATGGGAACTGAGCAAGCTGGACTCTACTACTTGGATACTTCGAAGTATGTTGGGTGTCGTGTCTTCGCTGCCACTGCCACTTCCACCACTCCTCATCTTTGGCACCAACGCCTTGGTCACCCCTCCAATAAAACCCTGCAAGGCATTTCTTTGTGTTTAGATTCTGTTAAAGCTCATTTTATTAATGATTGTTCTATTTGTCCACTTGCTAAACAAACAAGACTACCTTTTCCTTCCAGTTCTATTAAGACAAAATCTTGTTTTGAGCATATTCATGTTGATATTTGGGGTGGTTATCATGTTCCAACTTTACAAGGGGCAAAATATTTTCTCACTATCGTAGATGATTTTTCTCGATGTACATGGGTTTATCTCTTGCTTACAAAATCTGAAGCTAGAGATTGTCTACTTACTTTTATAAACCTTGTTGAAACCCAATTTAATTCTCACATCAAAATCATTCGTAGTGATAATGGCAAGGAATTTGACATTCCAAACACATATCATGCTAAAGGAATTATTCATCAAACCAGTTGTGTCTCAACTTCACAACAAAATGGAGTTGTTGAATGCAAACATCGGCATCTACTCAATGTAGCCCGTGCCTTACTTTTCCAAGCCAACCTTCCCAAATTTTTTTGGGGTGATGCCATCCTTACTGCCACTTACCTAGTCAATCGTACCTCAACCCCTGTTCTTCATGGCAAAACACCATTTGAGGTAATCTTTAACAAAACACCCACTTATGATCATTTACGTGTTTTTAGTTGCCTATGTTTTGCCTTTACTCATCACTACTAACCAAGCAAATTCGATGCTCGCTCTCTTCGTTGCATCTTCCTTGGTTATCCTTATGGTACAAAAGGTTATCGGGTATATGATTTAGCCACTGGAAAAATTTTCATTTCCCGAGATGTCATTTTTCATGAACATACTTTTCCTTATGCTTCCGCTACACCCATATCCACTTCATCTGGAACATCCAATCCGATTCTTTCCGCCATGGCTCCCACCTTTCCCGCCGTAGCGCCAACCAAAGGTCCATATTCGTCCTTTCGAAATAAGGTTGTACATCATCATGAGGAATCAATCGACGCGACGGTTGCGTCTCCCGAAGAAAATCCAAAGTGCCCAGGCCATCATTGCGAACGAAGGCTCGGGACCGGTTTCCCACACCCGAAGCATGGAAGGACAACCGAACCTAAGCTCGAGGCCGCCTAAAAGGAGCCCTCGACCTGGGGGGTACCTGTTGTGTGGGAAAATGTGACAGACACATGGACGAACGATAATGCGACACGTGCCCTTGACTACTCTCCGCCAAGCAACAACCCTCGACGTCTACGGCTCCCTCCTATTCCGCTGGAAAGCCCAAAGCACGAAGTCCAAATTAGGGCGACGATTCCTCCTGGCGTCGACAGATCATGCCGTCGAGATTAAGGCGCGAAGATCCCTCGACCGCAGAAAGGACCGCCAAAGAGGGCGGTTGGGCTAGGCAGCGCTGACGACGAGGGGAACGTTCTTTAGAGGACGTGACGGGTTGCGTGCAAAAGTAGAAGACGTCTGCAGGTTGCAAGATGTAATGACTGAGAAAATTTCAGACCTTAAATAATACAATTCATGTATTTTTAAGCTAAGGATTTTCTTAGAAAATATTATGTTATATTGTGAATGGAGGATTTATGGAATTAATATATGTATTCCTAAATTCTATAGCAAATTTCATGTTAAGTTCATGTTTCGA